TGTGTTTTGCCCTGAGCTTGTTTCTCTTGCTGTTTGACACATTTATGGAGGGAGGTGTGTGTGTGTGTGTGTGTGTTTTACATGCATCCGTCTGTGATCTAAAGGCCAAAGAGCCACTTGCATATCTAAATCGCCAGGAGGTGAGTGAAGATGACAGGACGTCCTTTTTTTGAATGGCTCTCAGTGTCTGTTTAATTACTTTAAATAATTGTTTTTATTGCTTTTTGCAGCTCGTCAGTAAGTTTAGGGTAGAACCATTATGACGTGTTATGTTTTTCCAGATTTTCTGTCACATATATGCTCTTACAATGGTAAATGTACATAGTAAAGACGGCAAAAAATGGATGTTAATAAGGTCACCGGATGTATAAGGAATAAGTCCAAAGTTCAGGCTTCAGACTGCTCTTAATACTCTGTTAAGACTGTTAAGACTCCAGGATCTGTACGACGTCAGTGATATAGCCCTCAAAGCAAACACAGTGTGATCTCACCCACTAGCTACTGACGACCTGTTACCTCAAAATTTCTGATGTACCTTTTACCTCATGTTTAGCATTATTGTTGTCATCATTTTGGTGTTTTGAAACCAGATGTGATGAGCGAGGGGGTGGGATGGGGGTGACTGTGAAACCACACACTCACGGATGGTCATTAGCTAGTGAGCGTATCTCGGATAATCCTTTTGAACTCTAATAATGAGCAAAATTTACCAAATAAAGTATTTGGTAAATTAAATATTAAAGTATTTATTACAAGTACATGTCCATGCAACAGTAATGTTAGGCTTGTTAATGCTGCTGGCAAACCTATATACTTAATCAGAGTGAGAAAAGTGAATAAATAAATAAAACATATGTGTGGTAGATGCTATTTATATGCTAGGTGTAAAATATCACGCATATTTAAACTTTTGTGGATATAAATGATAAATTGTTGTCCAACAATAAAATGATACTGAGCTTTTTAAAGGTTGTTTTGCATGAATAACAACTAAAAACTGGTCATTTTAGCACGTTGCTAGGTGGTTCCTTGGCAACATGATGACATTGTAATATCTGATATACATAAGAACCTCCGGGGGCCTATGATGTACCTGTGTGCCAAGATTGGTTGTTTAGCTCCTGATGCTCTAGGAGGATAAACAAATAATCATGCAAACAGAGATTTTGTGTGTTATTATATAAGTTTGTTTCCAGCAGTGGAAAAAAAACAATCAAACATACAAACAATTTTTTCAGCCATATGTGGCTATATCAGAATTTTGACTAACTCAAACATCTGAGGAAAAAAAGGCTTGAATTTCTGAAATAATAATTCCAATTTTGACTTATAGATGACAAAAATAATTGTTCTTTCATTTGAAATAAACTTCCGTTATATCAAAGTAAAGATGGCATGGAACTATTTATTGAGTACCTAACGTCGAGGTGGAGACTTCTAAATTTCGCTCATGACTAACAATGACAGCACAATATTCATTGCTGGATGCTAAATTCACATTTCAGCTTCATGATTTTTTTGTATTTTTTATAGACATAAGATATATATATATATATATATATATATATATATATATATATATATATATATATATATATATATATATATATATATATAAAAACACCCAGCACGCCCCTGCGGGCGGTTTATCCTTCAAGCTCGGGTCCTCTACCAGAGGCCTGGGAGCTTGAGGGTCCTGCGCAGTATCTTAGCTGTTCCCAGGACTGCGCTCTTCTGGACAGAGATCTCCGATGTTATTCCCGGGATCTGCTGGAGCCACTCGCCTAGCTTGGGAGTCACCGCACCTAGTGCTCCGATTACCACGGGGACCACCGTTACCTTCACCCTCCACATCCTCTCGAGCTCTTCTCTGAGCCCTTGGTATTTCTCCAGCTTCTCGTGTTCCTTCTTCCTGATATTGCTGTCATTCGGAACCGCTACATCGATCACTACGGCCGTCTTCTTCTGTTTGTCTACCACCACTATGTCCGGTTGGTTAGCCACCACCATTTTGTCCGTCTGTATCTGGAAGTCCCAAAGTGGGCTACTGGAACAAGAAGGCATCGGTGGGCAAGGGATATATATATATATATATATATATATATATATATATATATATATATATATATATATATATATATATATATATATATATATATATATATATATAAAGGTCTATCCTAGTCTTAGCATTAACCATAACATACCCTAAAAAGTGTTGGTAGTCTCTCAATGCCAGATTTATAAAAACCATGAGTTACTAAAGCAATGTGACCTCAGTGGTCTTTGGCAAAGCCCTGTAAACGCTGTTTCAGAAGCTCCATTAGGTGTTGAATTGGTTTGCAGACTGTGAAAGGCAGGACATGATTTATAGATATCCTTCTCCTCCTGAAGTCCTCTATCAGAGTCTCAGCATTTGTTTTGCATTCACTGTTGTAGTCTTTTGTAATTTAATGAAAGTTTCTTCGCAGCTTTTAAAATGCGATTCCAACAGGGCATCGCTACTTTCTTTTTCGTTCTCAAATAACTGACAGCGCTAATTTGACTTTTATAATCACCGTTTAGTTTGGAATGAAGTGACAATAATAATGTTATAAACGGAGAGCTTACGTTTACTTTTTCTATCAGATGTGACAACATGCCATTAAAGTAGTAATTTGTAACAAACCATGTGATACATTTGCTTTGAAAGGCTGCAAGTTTTATCACTTACTTTTTACACGGACTTTTTTTTTCCATTTTTGCCACCTGAAGAATTTGGTAAACAAGATTGTTGCCCTTCACTTATTAACTGTTGATAGTCGTATTAGCATATTCCTGTTATTAGTAACCTAGCGGTGTTACTGCGATTGAATGTATATGGAAGCATTAATCTCTTTATGAGCCGATATTTGAATAACTTGATGTAAAGTTTGTCAGAGGTGTTGAATGAGGCGGCGGACAGGATAATAATCATTTTGCTTCAAAGAGGGCGCCTCTCCCCTTCTGTACCTCTGCTTCATGACGCTCCGGGCAATCATGTGATCCGACCCTGCTTCATTCCAGATGCGTCAAGTGGCATGCAGGCGGAAACGAGCGTTACTCTCACATTACCCTCAAAATAAAAGCCAAAAGTACCTTCTCGGCCTTAAGATTTGGTGGGTGGGTTAAATGTATTGATGTTTGTTCTGTTTTCGCAGTTCAGGTGAAACGTTATACTTTAACACACACACACACACACACACACACACACACACACACACACACACACACACACACACACACACACACACACACACTAAAAAAATTAATGTATTTACTAAATATATTTTAAAAATAATTAAAACTCCACTTGTGTGGCTGTAAGTTTTGTGCAGTTCAGAGAGAGGATTTTAAAGCCAGTTTTAGAAGAACTGCAAAAATCTGTGAAAAGAATAAATGTTTCACATAGCAAAAGTTTCAAAGGCTGTTTTTTTTCTTCAATTAATGCTTGGATGCCTGATTTTTATTTTAAGCTTTTTCTGGGATTTTCTGTTGCTGCAGGGCTATATTTATCAGGAACCCTTTGCCCTGAGCTCCACATAGATTTGCATTAGTGAATCAATGTCAAATGTCACATGTTAAATAAGTAAATAAAATAAAATATTGAAAATATTTCCCTTTTTTCTTACACTTATAGGAGTACTGGGGTTTCGTTGGGACCTCTGGTCAAATTAGCCAAGGCTCAAATCTAAGCCTGTTGACGTTCCCTTTTATTAAATGCATGGTTTAGAATTCTAAAAGACCCCGACCCCTGTATATTTAATGGTTAAACAAAACAACATAAATTGTCTTAGTAAGGTCTTATACCACCATGTGCCACCAGATAATCCCTCAAAACCCAGATGTTCAAAAGATTTTCTTGGATTTGGTGGTAACAGTGGTGGAAAGTGCTGTCTAAAATTGGAAGTCTAAAATTCCAGTGTTGGATGGGGCTGAGAGCACATTACTGTGGAGGCCATTTATGACACATCACTGTGAGGACCTTTGCTATCAAAACAAATCACAAGCTATTTGCATTTTTTAACCCAAAAAATTATGACGGCTGATGTGATTTTTGTACTCAAATCATTTAATGACTCATTGCTACCTATAAATGGGGACATTGTAGAGCACCATCATTGAGGTAGAAAGGTATAATCATAGGATAAAGGTCATCATTCAGCCCAACTTCCTATTTGTGCCACTTCCCTCAAAGGCAACTGTTCTGAAATGTCAGGTGCAGCCGGTGTATGATGGTGAAGTTTAAAAATATAAGGTGAAAAAAAAATTATGACCTTTTTTTTCCTTTTGCAGGGGAAATAACCCCTATCACTATTACGTTACCTCCATTGTAATTACCGTTTTATGTTATTATTACTGATTATACACATCAGTCCACAAGTTTTTTGTGTCTGAAGAAGGCCACAACAGAGAGATTTTGTAAATTATTATGGAAGCTTGTTTTCAGGCCACGGAAAGAAATAAACAAAACAACCAAAACTATTTTATTTTTGCCAGCCATAGGCCAAACATGTGGGATAATATGTAATTTTCAACTTACTCAAACTTTTGGAAAAAGAAGTTTCAAGTTATGAAGTCTAAAATTTGAAATGAGAACCAGTAATTTTGACTTGGATGGCATCTTTTTTATTTATTTATTTATTTTTCAGTCAAAATAAACTCTCATATATAATAGTAAGAAATGACCTCGAATTAGTGAACTGTGAACTGAGGGATTGCACAAAGGTCCAGTATACAATCAGGCAATGTCTTGTAGAGTGCAAGAATACAAATAAAATGAAAACACAGAAAAACATTAAATCAAAGACGTGTGACCTAACTGTATACACACCCTGTATTTGTTTTTGTGTGTGTCAGCAAAAAATACTTAAAAAGGACGAAAACATCTATTTTTAAGAGATTAGTTCCGCTTATGCGTCCTTTCGGCTTTTATTGTGAAAGCTTCCAGCGGAAGTCGAGTTTCTCCGTCCCGGAAAACTTGACCACGGTTCTTCGTTCCCAGGGTTCCGTGAGAGCCGTTTGCCCCACCCCGCCTCTACAACGCTATCTATCTCAATGTTCAATTCTCAGAGAAAAAAAAAGGTGGGCAAAAATAATTCAGGGTAACACAGCAAAGAAACGAGTCTCACCTCCCCGACCGGTTCATCGGAGCAACCGCGGCCTGTCGGCGGTTAAAAATGACAGCGTCGCCGTTGGACCAGTGATTGAAAACACCGCGGTATGTTCATGTATCATGCACATGTAACCATAATCTACCATACGGATTCAAAGGGAATACAAAAATCCGAGAGACTTGACAGCGCCTTGTACCTGCGCCAAACGGGAAAATAACGGAGGATTTTCCACGAATATCACCTGGATATCGCGCTATATTCAAGGACATCCAGCTGCCAAACACCGCCTTAGCTCGGCCCCGGAGAAGCTTTCTGATGTGAGGAGAAATATAAATTGACGTTACGGAGAGAAAAAGGACGGAGAAGGGGCCTTGTTTCTTTCCCCCCTTTTTTTTCTTTTCTTTTTTCCTTTTTTCTTTTCTTTGGGGGGTGGGGGGGTTCTCGTGAAACCTCAGGAAAAAAAAGCCAAGCACCAGCATCTACTTACGGGGGAGAGGAAATAATTTGGACATCGGCTAAAAACGGGATCTTATTGATAAGGCTCCTATATATAATGTGACTGTTGTGGTGGAGACAGAAGCCCGGGTTGTAGCCTGATGATTCACATGCCGTCATTTTAAGAGGAAATATTAATTTTTTAATTTCTCCCCATCCGCCCTGTTAATGTGCTTTTTTTCCTGGCCAGCCTGAGATAGGATTTCAAATAATAACCTGAAATTATATTTAAAGGGAGAGTCGATGGAAAAAAAGAAAACGGGGCTCTTTTTGGTTGTGAGTGGAAATGAATTGAACGGCAGAGTAGTGAGGCATCTGCCAAAGATGGGCTCCGGAGGAGACATTTGCTGAGGAAGATTTAACATCAAAGCTTGAGAAAATATACATACGTGTATATTTAAAACAAAGGAGGAAAAGAAGGGGGGGTAAAAAAAAATACACCTTTAAGGAATCTGGACCCCACCACCAGCACCATCGCCATCCCTAGACACTCATTCATGTGCAGCCAGAAGCTGGAAATTTTACATCCACTCTCATATCAATGTTGATGACTTCATTGCGGATTTACAGTGGGGGAAAAAACTACAGGAATCAAGCATCTGAGAAGGGCGGCATCGTAGCTCTGCTCCTTTCTGACTGATCTGTTGCTGATAAATTGCCAGTAAATATCCACACCCCCCACCCCATCCCCTCCTCCACACATACACATTTTGCCAAAGCCTGGTGAAGCTCACTGTCTACTACCTGGCGTCTACTTCTTCTGCATCTGGCAAGATACATGTCACCCATTTGGAGCCAGGTGTTCCTCTCTTGGGCCAGTCTAGGAATTTGGGATTGATTTAAAAAAAGATCCTCTCTTTTCTGACCATCACCCTCTTCTTTCACCCACCTACCCCAACCATATCAACCGCCCTGCCTCCAAACCCTGAACCTGCAACTGGGTTTTTGGGAAGATGGGCTGCCTTGGCAATAGTAAGACTGAAGACCAACGAAATGAGGAGAAGGCACAGAGGGAAGCCAACAAAAAGATTGAGAAGCAGCTCCAAAAAGACAAACAGATATACCGGGCAACTCACCGGCTACTGCTGTTGGGTAGGTTTTGTGAAATTTAACATTACTGTTTCCATTTTGTTCCTACAAAACAGCATTTTCACCTGTTTAACTCATGTTGGTGCCACTGTAGCAGACTGTACCCATGAAAAGTGTGTAAGGACCACTGCTACAGCAAGGCATCAAGAACTGATGCAACGCCATGAAGTCCCGACTAATTCGCTTCAAGCGTCTTGGCACAGGACAGTTGAAAAAGCAGGCCTGTCTGCATTCATGGGATATTATGGAGCATGATTGCAGAACATGTGAGAGAGAGGGGGGCAGACAGACACCACCATCTGTGTGAGGGAACCACACACACACACACACACACACACACACACACACACACACACACACACACACACACACACACACACACACAGGCAGAGGCCGGGAGGCCACTCGCGGGCGTTTGTGCATGGCTCTTTCTCACCTCCACACATGTAAAAAAACCCAAACTTGTGATCTGGTTCATTTGTGGCTGCTGCGTACATCCTGGTTGAGCCTAGTTTTCATACTGCATATGACATACTTTTTTTTTTTCTCTCTCTCTTTTTGCATAATCCGTCCACACCACCCACTCTGGAAATTAATATCCTCTAATTAGCCATTATTTGGTAAAGCTATTTTTGGCCTCATCACGAGAGCCTTCCTGACATGATGCAGTGTGAACCTTAAGGCCAGCCCTTGTGCTGGACTACAGAGTGCAAATTAGGATTACTAGTTTGCCTTGAATGCCTGTTTCTCTCGCTCTACGCCTTCTCTGAAAAGCAGGCCTGTAGCCTGGCTGGCTCCTGGTGCTTGGGGATGGAGATGTGATGGCCGGGCTCCTTTCACACTCAGTTTTGCAAGGACACGTTGAAGGCTGTTCTTATCCAGAAATTTATTTTCTTAATTATTAACATCAGGGTTCAGGGTCTAGCAGTTTTTCTCCTGAATGACATGCTCGGGGAGAGAATAGTTGTCTACATGTTGGAGCTTTTTTTTTTTTTCCTTGGTCCTTGTCGCCTCTGGAAGAAGGGGCAGACTTTGGTGAAAGTGCACGTGTCGTGCATCAGCCTCCCTATGTAAAACTACACTAGCTAAATGTATTTACGATTCAGTGTTGCATAAAATGCGTAGTACAAGTTAAAAGTAGTATCCTAGTGTTTAGTGCTTTGCCAAGGTGAGGTAGAACAATTCATGAAGTTACCTGTGGTTCCCAAGATAAGGGTTTGGGTCACAGGAGAAATCTAAGGGGTCATGAGGTTTGCTTTTCTGGTCTGTGTGTGTTGCTTTGTGACATAATGGGTCTCAAAATTGTTCTTTAAATGAGACGTTTAAAGGGGAAATCTCTCTTTGGAGGAACTGCCTTTGGAAGAGGTCACTAGCCAGAAGTGGCAGGAACCACCGGTTTAATCTTTAACAATGCAGTGTGTATAATACGCTGACCTTTTTGTTTTTTTTAATGTAAAATCAGAAACTGCAAAGTAACAAATACATGAAGTAATGTTTTAAAAAAGGATATTTCCTTCTTAAACACAGTGAAGTAAAATGCACTGTTGAAATGGGAATACTCAAGTAAAACTCAAGTTTCTTCATACATAAGATAAGAGCAGTCAATGATAAGAGCAGTAAAAAGAGATAAGAAAAGTAAAAGGTTCTTGACTCTTAGGTTGGGTACATCGAGGTCTCGCCTTTTGGCTTTTGTGTAACATGCACTGTTTAAAAGTAGGTAAGGCCTGTGACAGGGCAATGTCTGTGCACAATGGACAGGACTTCTCTGCTAAGGTGCAACATTGTTGTAGTTCAAATCATTAAAGGCATCGCTGTTTAGTGCTTCCAGGACTCGTCTAACCTTGGAACATCAAAATGCCTTCCATCTCTGCTCCTTCCTGGATATTTTAGTTGCTTGTACAACTTCATGAAACTCTTGTCTGACTTGTTGTTTCTCTGCTTTCAGGGGCTGGTGAATCCGGGAAAAGTACGATAGTCAAACAGATGCGAATATTGCACGTTAATGGCTTCAACGCAGAGTAAGTTTCGCTGGTTCCCCCTCAGTTCACTATTCACTAAACACTCCCACAGTTTCTCTTTAGAGTAAAGGAACCCATTTAGATGGATATCTGCTCAGGTACTGACATATTTGTTGACCAAATACCTAAATTATGTAATGATGTTTTGGAGAGGAGTAATGGGGCATTAAGAAGATACCACTGATACAAAATACCTTTCCCACCAGTCTTCAAGTTTTCAGGTAGAGCAGGAGACTTGGTTAGTTATTACTTTTAAAATCACCTTAAATACAGAAGTAAAAAGAAGCATTGGATGTTACTGTTCTTGCCTATAAATAATTTCTTTAACCATATATTTAGAAGTGATGAATTAGCAGCTGTTTCCAGCTTGTTTTTATATTATAGCTAATAGAAATACTGTATTTGAAGTGTTAGTTGGACAATGAAAGAAAAAACAAAATGTTATTGGATTCATTGTGAAAATGGTAAATCAGATTGAAAGCCTTTTATGATAACTGTTTAAAAAAATATTCTATACATGTCTATACACCAACAAATTCCATATATATATCTTAGTATTTTATCATAGTGGGTTAAACAATATGCATCAAGTGCAGTATTTTAAGAGGCATTTACCTTTTTATAAAACCTCGTAATGCAGCGAGTGTAAACTGTTTTTAGATTGCAGAAGCACTGCTGCAGTAGTTCCTTACTTTGTATTAACTTCATGCACAGCAGGATCTTCTGGTTTTTACCTTTTCTAAAATCAGTAGGGATGCATGCTGGTTAAATATACTCCACATTGTTTATAAGAATTAAAACAGACTTCCAGGTCCTTATGTCACAGCCCGGCTCGACGCAACATAAAGTGTAGACTGAGTCCAGAGTTTGCAGAAACATTGGTTTTATTTTAAATTACTTAACCTCAGCTAAAGACGACAGCCCGGAGAGCATGAAGGTAAGAAGTGGCATCTTTCCCTGAGCCAACCTGAGGCATGCCTTTATCCACGCCTCGTCAGGTGTAGACAATTGGGAATTAAGCCTCTGCAACACCCAGAGACTCTTTCTTCCAGAAAACCATTGTTAGTAATGACACCTGTCGTTAAGTGCACTGAAGTCAACGTGACGTCGGCAGAGCACGTACTCGCGTTCTATCTACAATTAGCATCAACCAAATCAGTGAGGAGACAAACTCCAGTTTGTCCTGACCTGTTATGCTTGTCATTTATATGCAGTCTACAGTGGCTGAAAGATAAATGTACACCTTGGTGTCAGTATAAGGATAAAAAAGTTTATTTAATAAGACTACCAATGCCGGATGAATATTTGCTAGCCGAGTTGCATCAGACGGTCTTTCTTCTGGCTAATGTTAGCTAACATTAGCCTAACTGCTGGTATGGACTGATTACTGCCCAACATAACAGGTGGACATCCTTCTAACCAACCACTTCCTGTCTAACTTTGTCACTGGTACAATAGAGCTTGATTTAAACATTTCCATGGTAACACTGATCTCCTGTCAATCACACTGGTAGAAGATCGCTGCCATTTGATTGGTTATAGTTTTTTTTTCTGCAACATGGTGAATATAATGTCTTTAAGGAAGGTTGATATCATACCATCGTTTCACAATATCAAACCTCGTATTATGTTCACTTTGGATCGCTACAGTATTATGGCTCATAATCAAAATCCCTATGGAGAACTCTGCTGAACTGTGTACCATCTGAAGTAACATGAGTTTGTCTTTTTTTGTACTTACTGCAAGTTTGCGTTGGTGTCTGGGTTGTGCTGTGAGCCAGCTGTTTGTTAACATTACTGATAAATAGACGCAGTGACTGAAAAAGGTTGCTTAGAGAAAGTTTAAGCAGCAAAATGCCTTTTAAAGGTAATTACACAGCTTTAGATGTGCTTTATGTTGTCTCGCATTTATAACAAAGAAGTAAAAGGTTTTTCCTTTTGGTAAACTGTAAAATTTACTAAACATATTCTCACTTTTTCAACCCGATGTTCTTAACAGAGGGGAGGAGCTCCTGTCATTCCTGTGAGTCAGGAAAATAAAGTTGTTGGGGCTTTTTTGTATTGTTGTGGAGCAAATTAGTGAAAAGTTGTGTGGCACAGGAGGAAGGCTTTGTCCTTGTCAGCTTTTCATGTGGAAACATGGCTTTGGGTGCTTTTAGCCACCCTGTCTTGTGAATTTCCTAAAACTCCTTCCCAACTTGATGCAGTGGAAATAAAAGTCACATTTTTCTATTCTTAATCATCAGTTTCCTTGAAAGGGGTTTTGGGCTAGAAGAATCATCATGTGCTTATTTTTGGGTCGCATCAAACAGACGCTTCTCACAGACCCAGGCGCCCTGGTGCAGTGATGAATTCCCAGTCTTTGTTAGGGTTCCTTTTCACTCTGTGGGTTTCCCCCTCTGCATGCAAGGCTTTGCCATTCAAGGTAAGGTCAGGCACAGGTATTTGTAAGGAGCCGGTAGTGGGATGATGATGATGGTGGTGTTTAGTGACACACCAGGAAATGGGTGGGGGACACGAGAGATGACTGAGCAGGACAGCTCCTTTTAATAGAGGTGATCTGTTATTTACTTATTTATCTTGTGGAGGTCCTAGTGTGAGGAATATAGCATTTGAGTGAGTTTCATTACATTCACATGGAGCCTCAATTCCCTCACTCATGTTGCTTCCTCACATCCTGGCTCCTCCCAGCTAGGATGGAGGTGAAGCTGCCGTGTGCTGCGTTGTTTGCTGCTTGCTTGTATACTTTTGATTGGCTGGGATTTCTTTATGGGTAGGGTTATATCACCACATGCTACTTTGGCATGTTCTTAACAATGCTTTCAATCACTTTGTTGTATTTTCAGGCGAGTGGGAGTGTTCACATAGATGTAGCCAAAAAGCATCAGGACAATATTTTTTTATTTTATTTTATTATTTGTTTTTTTAGACAGGCTACAACTGTTGAGTCAACCAATAAGCCAACTGGAAGAAAATATAAACAAGTTAGACAAAGAGAATGAAACACATGACAAGGTTGGGTCGCCAGGTAAACCTATAGACTAACATCAAACTGAGTATTTGTGCCATCACCATTTTATTTGTTTTTTTAAAATAAATCGAGACATTATGAGTGAGAGATGGATCTGACTGTGAAGCAGAGGGACGCGAGTCATAGGCTAGCAACTTGCTTTTTAAGCTCACTTTAAAGCATACCGTGGTAATATAGAATGATGTTAATAATTTGATATAAAAGCTGTAGCCTTATGAATTACAGCCTGTTATCTAGGAGATTTGATTTAAAGCAGCTGAGTTTAGAAACTCACATCATTTCTTTTAGATTAATGACAGTTTAACTGGGAGAAAGGACTGACTCTGTTGGACTTGGTAGGTCAACAGAGTGCACTCATGGTTGTACTCGAGTGTTACCTGAGCAAAGCTTCCTTTAGACCAGGGGTGTCAAACTCAAATACACAGTGGGCCAAAATTCAAAACTGGAACAAAGTCGTGGGCTAACATTAATATTTATTGAAAAAAAAAATCTTCCTCCAGATATGAGAATGAATCTTTTCTTATGGACTCAAACAAGTTTTGCTGAAAAACTGAATATGGAACAAGCAAAGCTTAATACTAAACAATATATATATTAGCTGTATAATACCAGTAGGCCAGCTCTAATAGTAATTTGGTGTGGCTTCGCGGGCCAAATGTAATTAGGCTGCGGGCCAGAGTTTGACACTTATGCTTTAGACCGTAGAGAGATCACAAACTCAAACACAGTCAGGTTTTATTTGACCTTTTATCAAGTTATTCACAGACTTGCTGTTAGTTAGTGATTACTGACTGTGACACATATGTTCATAGCAGGAAAAGTACCTGAAGCTGCTTACTGCATGTGTTTTGGTGAATTTTGTCACATAGAGTCAGCGACTGGTTTGACCAGCAATCAGAAAGGAATCGATTAATATTTGCCTTGAAAAAACAAAACAGGGATGTGTGCAAAAATCCTGTGAAAGCAATTTTCTGAATGGATTTTTGTACTTGGGGTGGATTTCTCTTTTTAGCCTGATTGCGTTTCATGTCATTAGGTCAGTTGCAGTGCGTGTTCAGGTCTTCTGTGCTTTTTTGACTTGTTTTTTTTCACCAGTCAGGAATATATCCTACTGCCATGAATTTAAATGGCAATTATTTAGAGAAATTGGGTGCTTTTTAAAAATATTTGTAAATATGCAGACGAAAGAAATCTGTACAGCTGTGTTGGTCTCTGTATGGAGAAATAGTCATAGGTGAGAATGAGGATCACTGCAAAAATTCACATCTGGAATAAGGCAGAAAGTGCTCAGAATAAGTGACACGGGGTTGTTTTGGAGAATTTGTGCTGCTGTTGTGTTGCCTGTTCTGATATAATTGTTCTTAATCCACCTTATTATCAACAACGCTTTAAAAGATTCGAATATCAATTAGAAATGACCAGCATTCATCCCAGAAATATTAGATTTTTGGTTAAAATATTGACATATTTTACTATTTCAGTGCCAGCTAGCGATGGTAGCTGATTAAAATGCCCACATGTGCTTTTATATTAACATGTGAAGTGGCTACAACTGGGAAGTATTGTTTACATTTTACATAGGACGCATGAGTGAGAGATATCCACCCATGCCTTTAATTTAAAATCTTTCCCCTCAGCACAAGTTGTATACGCTTAATTTTAGGGTTTGTATTCTTGCTGTAAGGTTAAGTAGCCCATTGTTGAGATATTTGTGGAATTCATTATCAAATCTGAATTTCAACAACCAGACTTTTGTGTTTTGTCAGGACACATTTGAAGGAATCCAGCACTTATGTTTCTGTGTGACGTCAGTGCTTCGCGATATCAGCAAAGCTCACAGATTGCATGAACTGCCATGTTGTGAAATTCTGTTTATCTCTACAACGACAAGGAAGGACAAAATGTGGACCGTATTATTTAATTTAGCAGTACTTTGGGCTCCTTGGTGTTCATGACTTCTCAAACTATAGTACAAAAATGTACTATAACAATCAACTAGCTGTGTGGTTTAGTGCTTAATGAATAGGGATGGGTATCGTTTAGGTTTTATCCAATACTAGTACCAAACCGGTACTTTTGAAACGGTGCCGGTGCTCAAACGGGTGCTTAAAGAATGGAGAACACAAAATTGGTCCAAAAACCTCTCATGGTCAGCTTGTTTTTTGTAAAAAGATAACAATGTTAGCCTTTTCTGCAGCTATAGGGCATATATGGTATCACTCTTGGCTGGAAGCAGTGCTTAAACACTGTAAAAAAAACACAAACTTTGTCCAAAAACCTCTCATGTTTAACTGTTTCCCTCTTTTTCTTTGGTCATTTTAGCCTTTTTGGCCAGGGTGAAGGGAGTATCTGCCATCAAACAAGAAGACAGCCGCATGTAACTACGACGGTGTTTGCTAGTTCACCTTACGTGCATTAATGTAATAACGTGGTTAGCCTACTCAACGTAAATCACACACGAACAACATTAAGTTACTCACGCAGAGAAGAATGGCTGCTGCTGCATCATCATCCGTCATCATTTCTGCTACACTGGCAGGGCTAGGGGCCAGGACTCTCCTCTCCGGGTTTTTGGGGGATGTTGCATAACAGGCAACCCACCCGCAGTAGATGTGCTCGGTGTGAGGTCTCGCAGCAAGCTATCAAAAACGGCGCATTTCTCAGCTTTAAAAAAAAAAAACTGCTATGCGTCGCCAGGTGTTTCATCGGATTCAAGGTGTTACTTCCTTTGACAGTATCACAGTATCAGCTTAAAGCACTTGTTGCTGCTGAGTTTGCATATTTTGCTGTGAAGTACAGCCAGACTTTGACCGCTTCGCCTTGGGCATTTTTAATCTGTAGCTCTGCTCTAAAAGAACGTACCTACCTGGACCCGCCTACTATCCTCGGAAACGTAAAATGATTGGCTAGAAGTGTATCTCAGCTCAGGAAAAAAAAGCACCGAAATAAAGCACCGAAATGTGCGCTGCTTTTCGGTCTGGTTACTACCGTTTATGTCAGAACCGGTGCCATCATGGCACCGGATACCGGTACCCATCCCTATTAATGAATGTCATTGTCAAAATTAAGACAAGCTGTTCTGTTCTTCTTTGGTATCAGCAAAATTCAGTGGTTGCACTTGGTCAGCAAATAAACAAAATATCTGTGTATGTGGGGCAGTCGTAATACTGATGTCAGATATAATTTAGCTCTAGGCTGACAAATACATCCTGGAGAAGTTAATATTACACAGCACATTTCCACTGGAATCCACTGGGACTGACACTGAAGAAACAAAACATCTCTGTGTAATTACAGTTTTTATTTAAAAATATTGTTTCCTGTCCCTGTTGCACTGCGATGGCCATATTTGGATTTATAGCTGTACATGAATATTTCTTTAAATGTCATCATTCACTGTTAACCTTTGTAGCTTAGGTCAATTAAAGCTAGTTGCCATCTATGCTTTTAAGTGATAAATAAATAAAGCACATGCGAACTCTTCTCTTCACAGGGAGAAAAAACAGAAAATTCATGATATTAAAAACAACATTAAAGAAGCTATAGAGGTAAGACACTGTTCTTTTTTCCTTTGATAGATGAATGATGTTTCTTTGTAATGTTCTGTCTGATATGCAGGTTTTTGGCTAAAAGAGGAAAAAACATGGATTATAGCTTCTTAAAAAAATAAATAAAAAAAATCCAAAACTCAATGCTGTATTCTAAGCGAGGAGGCTTTCAGTCACACATTGCTTCAGACCGGTCAGCGACCCCATGTGCGCTCCCAACCAGCTGGGAGTCGTTACAAAAATTTGCTGCACCACAACTCTCCTTGCTGTTACTTTGGGCAGTACCACATTGTCACAGTCACTTGTAGTTTGCATCATCTCGTCTACAAACACCCACTACCCACTCGCTGGGTGGTGGAGAAATTTCAAAAAGTGCAGAAGCAACCTGCTAGCGACCAAAGCAATCAGATGGAGGCTTGCGGTGCAGTCTCGAATACCTCCAACCACATGGGGAATACAGATTTATCACTAGCAGGTGGTGGTTGTTGGCGATGGCTAAACAGCCTCTAGGCGTGGGTGACTGAGGGGCTAAGATGATGAAAATTTGTATCTAAAGCCGTTTTGAGGCAGTGTAAACACATTTATGAATAATATTAATGAATGAGGCTTTTTGTGTTTGTGTGTTCTTTTCATACAGACGATTGTGGCGGCCATGAATACGCTCACACCTCCTTGCCAGTTAGCCTGTCCTGAGAACCAGTCTCGGATTGATTATGTCCTGAACCTAGTAAACCAGAAGGATTTTGATTTTCCTACAGTAAGTTCAACTGTACTTCATCTCAGATCTCTGACTTTTAAATGCAGTTTGTTTCCTTCTGCTTTCATTCGAACCTCTTGATCTGTGTGTAAAGAAAATAATGAATGTCACAATGAAACATGTGATCAGACAATAAAACAAAATTGAACAGCACAATTTTTGAAGAGCAATTTGGTTTTAAACAAAGCTGCTGCAAGTTAATAAATCAAATCTCTTTTTCCCCAGTGGGTGTTTTTTGTTGTAAAATCGCTCCTGCTATTTTGCACTAACAGGTGTAAATGTGTCAGATTCTCATTACTAACCTGCTGAATCTTACAGGTGTTCTGGCTAGTTGTGCTAGAGGTGAGTAAGGTATCACGCGACAGCCTGTATGAGTCCGCCTGGTGTGTTTGCGTGGTGATTCAGTAATTAGCAAGTGTGCTTCCGCTTGGGAGGTTGTCAATTGAATGAGCCTCTCACCTGAGAGTACCACACCGCCGATTAACTCTAATTGTCTGTAATAAACCTAAATGTGTCCAGAGGGACATGTCTTCCATAAACGCGTAGACCAGTCTGCTCCCAGCGGCCTGGGAGGAAGTCGATGAAGGTCCCACCACTGATCTGGAGATTGATTCATTGATTTATTTGCTCATGTCTTTCTGTTATTAAGACTGGTGTTCCAGATTAGTTGATCAATCATATTTTACAAAGTAATGTTCACCCTTCACTGGACGCCCCTTGGGGTTGAAATCTGCGGCCACAGAATCAGTTTGTGTGTTAAGTATTCTGGCTTTAAATTTGTGTTTCGCTATTGAACAATCTCCAATATTTCAGTAAGTACACAATGACCGCAAAATTCAAGCTTTTTTTTGTTAACTATCTAACAGTGGGCAGTTAATTAAATTTTAATTTCAATTACAATTTTGCATCCAATGATTATTTAAAAAAATAGATTTTTTTAAAATTACATTGATCTTTAATTGAATGTGGCACATTGATTACTTTTTTGCATTTTTACTATAGCGAATCAGATGTTGAATGTGTTTCCTCCACCCTAAAAGCCCAATCGCTTACTTTAGCTTAGCTAGAGCCAAGATCATGCAAAAGAAGCAAAAGTTAAAAATGTTTCAATAGATGAGCTTATGTTGGGAACAGTTTGTTGCAGCTATGGATGAGGTGGTCTCTCACCTGGTCCACTTTTGGGGACAGAGGGGTCAGGAGATGTTGGCTCTCCGTTTCTCTGTGCGTCGCTGCGATGCCGGTGTTCTGTCCAGTCAGCTTACGTTCTCAAATCAGCATACACTTTATGACACCCTGACTTGCCAATTTACAGTTTGACATACAGACCTTTTGTCGTCTGTATGCCGAACTGACGGCTCCTGTTCACATGGTGGAATTATGTATGTATGCTACTCTGATTTGTCTGCTGAGATGATGGAACGACCGGTTTCCTGAGGTGGGTTAGTGTATGAAGGTGCGCTAATACTGAAAAACACACCATTATCTCTACACCAGATCAGCCTGTGTCCTGCCCTGCATCCATCTCCCTTTCTTCATTTATCTGGTTGTTTTTCATTTAAATTATGTACTAATTTAAAATTTAAGGAAATCATACATTCAAAAAAAGTGTTGTTGTTTTTTTTGTTTTTGTTTTTAACACATTCAGTAAATGCACGTTTAAAGTGAATGAATATTTTGTTTTGGCCCTATAACTATCCCCATTATCTGCTGACAAATCTGACAATAAGATTATGATCATGCAACCACACACAGTGAAAAACACGTCCTTTGCGTTTGGGACGCCATCTGTGAGAAGCTGACAATCACTGTTAAAGCAGGGATTCAAACAACCGGGTCTTTAATAGTGATAGTTTCTGATAAACGGGAGGAAAAAAATCCCTAACTTTAGTTTCCCAAATGTGAGTTTGCAGCTTTTCTTTTTTGTGATCTTATACTTTCTATGTTTATTGTATATAGGTCAAATTAACTGATGAGTAAATCTCTATAAGCAGAAAATAAATGAAACTCCTGAGTGCAGCATTACTCAGTTGTTGTCTAACAGGGGAGCGGTTACATAGAGGGAAAAGAACACAGAGTCTGTGTTTTTCCAGCATGGTGGCCTTAGTGTTTAAACTGGTTGCTCCTTTCGTGTACATTTGTCTTGTACATTTGTCGTTTACAGCTGAGTTTCCAGTAAAGAGTGAGCGTATTTGTGTGTAAGCAAAAGGAAGTCTCCTGATATTGTCTCTGTTACGTCATGGCAAATTTATTATGTGGGCCTATCTCGAGCTGACCCTTCCCTCGGGCTGTCCGTCCGTCACTAGACTTCCACTGCAGGAGGGAAAAACCAGAACTCTTTTTAATTTTAGGGTGTTGAGGATTACAGTAAATCCAAACGTGAAGGCAGTGCTGTTAGTGAAGTACTGCTGTGATTTTTGAAAAGTTCACAGTGATAGCTGGTTATTTAAAGCAGTGTTTAAAGAGCATCAAAAATTGAACAGTTTGTCCATCTGAACGCGTATTTGTTAAGGAAAGAGAAATGATGGGGTCGGCTCCTCCTCAGCTGCCTCCTCTTCCCGCTCCCCCTTGCCTGGCCTTAGGGTCTACTGGAAACCAGTTTGACTGGTTGACGCTGCCTTTCACTGTAGACAGACAATAAGCATAGGGCTTGTGTTGAATATCCACAGGCTTTTTGTGAATTTCCCCTCGAAGCTTTATGTCTAATCAACAATCCTCATAATTATTATTCACTAAAATTACTTTTTCTTTGTAAACATTAAGCACTGAACTTTTTTTTCTATTTTAAAAGAAAAACTTTTGTACTAACTTAGTCTTTGTAGACTGATTTTTGCATACCTGTGCTCAGCTGTTTGCAGCACACAGCATACCCTATCCTTAAAAGCCTTTCGATGGTAAAAAGAAAAGGAACGTTCAGGGAGAGGAGCAAAGGAGTGATCCCTCTTTCAGGACAGACAGGTGGGGTGTGTGTGTTTACAAATTCACCAACCCCTTCACTTTCGTTTTACAGTAACAAATATGCAGGAAGTCTTTAAATGAAAGTGACCATGAAAAAGTAAATAAGGCCGAGATGCATCAAAAAAGGATGGGAAATAAATAAAGGTCATCTGTGGATTTGGCATAAAGATTTATCTGTGTTTTATTTTATGCTCTTATCATTTTTCATTGTCTAAGTGTAATGATTTGCAATTAAAAATAATATATAAAAATAAAAGACTTAGTCATTCACACAGACACCCCTGCCTTAATAAACACATACACTTCTAAAACATATAAATGATACTTTAATTCTAATTCTGTAGGAACCCTTTTAAATATAATTAAATGATAACTGCAGCACAGCATCTCAGATTGGGTCTATAAGCAAGCTCCAGTTCTTAACATGAAAACTTTGCATAGCTATTGTAGCTTTTTATACAGCAGGAAGTTTACAGTCCTGCATAAACTGTAAGGGAAAGAAACTGGTAATAAAATAACAAATTTATTGGTAAAGCCATATTTACATATTACTGGTTACTGTATTATTTAACAAAATAAAGTTAAAAAAGAGAATAAGTGAGTTAGTTGTTACTCCTAACTGAAACACTTCCTTTCTTCTTAAAGCCAACATTGTTAGCTGATTTACAAGCTGGTCTGACAAAACAACCAATGGATACAGATTTCACCCAGATTTAAACTTTCCCACTTTTTTATGTTATTTTAATTATTAGATTCTTTTGGCCTTTTCTTTTTGTAGTTGAGCTGATCATGATAACAAATTACATCCTTTGTAGTTGTTGGGTTTTTGTTTTTTGGCAGGGTAAACAAATTATTAAACGAAATTATATTTAGCAATATTTATAAAAAGTTTTTGTGTGCACTTTTTTTTCTTTGCTGCAATTTATTTCAAATGGTGCTTATTGCTTTCGATTGATCATTTATTCTGAAAAATGTTCATCTGCTTCTATTTTCTTAACTGTTTATCCAGTTTAGGGTTGGAGGAGCATTAGAGCGTTTCCCAGCTGACACAGCTTTTAGCTATCCTAAACTATAAATTCAAAGCCCTTAAATCCAGGATGCAATTACAGTCTCACTTGTTTTTACGTCATTACATTCAGTTTTTCTAAGTTGGTTCAGAAGGAAGTTAATGTCATTGTCACGATCATTAGACCTTCTGAATTCCAGCACGTCCAAAACGTTGCTCTGAGCTCTTCCCACAGTCTACAGGGATAAATTAAAATAACAATAATGAATAAGACTGTGTGTGTAAAGACAACAAGTAAGTGCATACAGTTCACCTGTATGCATGCACTTTGGGGACGATCAATCAATCGGATACAGCGAAACGTTAAAGTTAAAATCCACATGCGTAAAATAAAATAAATTCTAAAAACTGCAGTGGCGGATACATGACCAGTTAGTTCTTCTGTTAAGTAACAACTGTTTCCTGAGTTGAGCAGTGCCTTTTGAAAAAGTGTGACAGCACCTTAATGCCAAACATTTATGTCATGTGCAAAATCTCACTTTGTGCAACATGTCAGAAGATAAAAAGTTCCCAGGGTTAACTTTTCAGATGAGTGTACTATGAAGCAAGATTACCGGTAGTGGGTTTCTGTGGAATGCCGAGCTGAAAGCCAAAGTTTTGTGCGCTAATTGAACTTAGCTAGATCACCACAGTCGTTTCAGAATCACCGCGTTTAGAGCGTGCTCTAAGAGCGATAAAGATTTTCTGCAGAAGGAATGTGTTTTATACATGTAACCTGTTGATCCATACCTTTAGGAAGCAGACTCGTTGGGAACATGCGAACATGCAAAAGGCCCTGTGCTGCCAACCTTTCCCAAGTTTGTTTTATACTCTGCGAACTGCAGCTAATTGTGTTTTTAGCCTATGAGTAAAATCGTGTTCACTTTGATCTGGTGACGAATTAAACTTATTTCTACAACTCATGCATTAGGTCATGTGACCCACCTGAATGAACTGAGTAGCCTATAATATGTTTTATAGTTTCACACTTTGCACCTTTTGTAGTCAACAAGTTAGAAACACACAGCAGCTTCTGATAGCGTACCATAATTTAAAAAAAAAAACCCCAATCCCATGTCCTTTTTATTTGTTGCATTTTTGTTTAATTTCTTATATCCTGTATGTATCTTAATCACCTATCCCTCTGTCAGAAGTAGGCAACATTCAGTCTTTAAATTCTGTTTGTAGGAATAGTCAAGGGATACATCAAATGCCCCCTTTTTACATGAGCATGCGCAGAGCCTAAAAAAAGAATGGGTTAACAAAGAGAGCTAGTTACCCACCCTCCCCAGCTAATGTAGATGAAGCCTAGCTATACTGGACTTGCTACATAGCAAGTTATATCTCTCAGAGTGTTTTGATTCTAGCCCAGCTCATAGCCTTTAACTAGTCTTTACTTGTCGGACCAACTCTGCAGTGATAGGTGGAAAACACAGTGCCCAGCATTTGGTTAACAATTACACTGAAGCTGGTAACACTTTTATGGCGATTTTCAGTAACTTTGTCTATGTTACTTTCCACACACTAACAATAGATTGCCACTCATATACAGAACGTACAAATTACCCAAAAGGCCACTTCTCTAAAGTGAAAGGCTCAGCTGATAACCCATGACTTCTACTCATTCCATTATCCTACTTAATCCTTCCTGATTTTTTTTAATAGTATACAGTTTAACTCTATGTCTCATAATGGCTTATTTGTGCCTGTCTCCATTGTATGTGACAATTCTAGATCACAGTGAAGATAGGCCCCTGCGTAGTGACAGTGTAGCCTTGTGTTGGTACAAAGCTCTCCGTTTCTACATGAACTCTGTGAACTGCTCTGTTTCCTGCTTATATCAGTTTGCTCATCTGCTGCTCCTCGGCGAGCCGGCCTTTAACTCCAAACTAAGCTGGGGTGTATCACTGCCCCCCTCGGCTGTCCTTAAACGGTTTCAGCCATCGAGAACCAGATGAAAAATACAGCTGTAAGAAAGGGACACAGGCCTGTCCAAGATCACACTCAACTTTTTCATGTATAACTAGTCACTAATATTAAGAGCAGATCGTTAGTTTGTCGGTCCTTCTGTATCCCGCCTTGTAAACGCTACATTTCTTGAACACTTTTCAGGCGATTTCATGAAACTGAACTCGGTTAAACTGATTACACTATAGTGATCAGGGTCACAGTGACATCACAGGAAATATAAACAAATGCTTAATCCAATAAAATAATTATGCGATGGCATTTTATATTTAAAAGGTCAAAGGTAAACTTCACTGTGACATCAGAATGTCCTGCAAAAGCTGACTAAATGCGACAGCAGTAAGTGTTAGTCACATTTGACCAACTTTAACTGCTTTCCCTTTATTATTGTAGGGTCTTTACCTTACAGTATAAAGCGCCTTGAGGCAGCGGTTGTTATGATTTTCCGGTATATAAATATAACTGAACTGAATTGAAGTGAACATTTGTGTGACGAATAGAACGTGTATACGCTACATGTGGTTGCAAACAATTATGTGTTAAGGCTAGCTTAGCACATATTTTGGACTGTTTGCTCAACTTTTGGAGGTCAACACAGCACATGTTGCTTCCTGTGTGAAAGGCCCTGTAAGTTAATGATATCCAACATCTGTAATGCATAATGCGTGGCCCAAAAGGCCCCCAAAAATCCAAAAACATGCGCTGTTGAGAGAGAGAAAGTGAGGAACATACAGACTAGGAGTTTATCACTTCCAGCACAAAGAAACATCTGACATACAACACTGGGTGATTTAGCCAATTGTAACTGGGTAACATAAGTTGACAGATGTAAGCTGAATTGCTAAAACGGTATGAAGTCTTAACTTTTACTGGCTCTACTTTGTTTAAAATGTCTAACCTGTCTGTCCGGCGCCCTTCATGGTCCCCTCGCCTCACAGTGAACAAAAATGGGGAAAAGTTGGAGATAAGCGTCTCTGCAAATTAGATCACGTTGCAGTTATTTAAAAATCAGGACATCAGAAATATTTTGTCTCATTTGATAATAATGATGTCTGGCTGTAGTTTCTCCACACACCTGCCGAAATCTGGGCGTGCACTTCTCCAAACACGCCCGTGCATTCCCAGAAACCTTGTGGATATGTGACGCATGACTATAGGGAGGGAGATTTGATTTATTGTAAATCGTAATTGAAATTAATTAATGCAACTTCAGGTGTTGGTGGAGGTTAACAACCATAAGGTGGTAATTCTTGTTTTTACAATCAGTTACCCTGTTTCCAGTCGCAGAAAGCCGCAGATCTCAGATGTGTTGCTGATCCAAACAAGCTTTTGTCTTTTCAGGAGTTTTATGACCACGCAAAGATCCTCTGGCAGGATGAAGGTGTGCGGGCATGCTGGGAAAGGTCCAACGAATATCAACTCATCGACTGCGCACAATAGTGAGTCTTTGCTTTTCTTATACTATTTTCACCTCTGTACGTACACTAGCAGTTAAATACGGGCACATTTCTAAGAACTTCCTTCTTCGGGTTTTGACACTCAAAGGTGAGACATATAAACCATTTAATGTGTGCTCTGGGGGGGGTTGGGTTGGGTTGTTTCCCTGTGGTTTATGTGAGCTCAATGTGCGAAGATAAATGGTGATAATGAATGCAGTGCTACTTTGTCAAGTGTATTTATTTTGGCTAGTTTATTTTAGTAGTTTTGTAGATCATTTCTTTAGGCTGGAAATAATGATGTGTTGTCTCTTTTCTTTTCTTTTTTCTTTTTTTTTTTAAAGGATTTGTGGACTTTGTTATGGTGTTGGTATTTTGTTAGTTGGTCCACCACTTTAGTATTGACTGAAATATTTGAGCTACCATTAAATTGGTTAATATGAAACCTCTGACTCACGTTAGTTGTCCCCAGTGGATAGTTCCCTTGTGGGGACACCAGGGGATTCCCTTTGTAGTTTGGACTAAAACCTTTCTATAAAGGTTAAAGCCACTTTCAGTATGAAATGTTGCAGGCAGTCTATACTTGCAGTTGTGGCTTGTGTATGCCAAAAATGGCATCACAGCTGCTGGTGTGCAGTGTCCTTTGGTGACGTTTTGGTTTGCCATGCACCTTCTAGCTTTTGTAACCTGAAGCCTGCGATTATATGTTCTGCAAAAAAAAAAACCTGCTTAAAACTTAGCAATCGCTTTGTTTGCATACTATTATGACCATTTAAATTTTCTTCTCAGTTTTGACACTTACCCATGCACGTGTTGACATAGCTTATTTATTAAAACATGGATTTTCCACATGGTAACGAGTGCTGTTGAGAGCATGCCAGAGCAACAGGTAGCAATAGACCCCAGCACATAGAAAACTTTATAGAAATATTGAATCCTACAGACAATAACTTTGTGCACGTGAAAAACTGAAAATGAAGGCACGCACCGCATGTGGGCAAAGGCTTGATATTCAAGTGTTTATCATTGAAAAGTACACTGCTACTTCTTGTGCTCACATTTATGACTATGGTGCTGTGTTGACGTCACAGTTCCCTCAAGCAGCCACTAATGTGTCAGGCCAAACTGTGGCATAATTAGTAAAAATGTGTTCATTGCATTGGTTCAACTATTGTTCCTATTTTGTGCTAATTAGCAAATATTAGCTTAAATGTTAAGCTAAGGTAGTAAAAACGGTAAATGTTAGTGTCATAGCGTCAGCATTTAGCTTAGAGCACCTCAATGCCTCCATAAAGCCTCAAAGAGCTGCTAGCATGGGTGTAAAGAAGCATCACAGATGGCCGGTGTTGGTCGCACCAATTAATTGCGATTTTGGTCATTTTCTGACTAAAATTTGTGCTCACCCAATCTAAAGTTTCCATGATGCTTGGTTACAGATGTTCCTGCTGTGAATTGGACTGTTGAAAGGTTTCGTTTCCATGTGCTGGCAATTGGTTTTTTCTGTCAGGTGGATTTTTGGTTAGTCTTTGCTAAACAAAGTGCAGACCTTTTGGATGGTGATAGTGTGTGTGTTTTCACTGATGGGGAATTGGTTAATCTTCCTGGAACATCTTTTTGTGTTTTCTGCATTGAAATTTGGAACATATTTAGAGGAACATTAGCTTGAACTTCCCCAACCCGTGCCGCCTGACTCTCCCTCTGCTGTTCCAAGCACGTTATCTTTCCCTTTGGTCTTTGGTCAGTCTGGCTTCATTATAAGACACAAAACGATCACATGCGTCAGTATGGGACGTGTGCTGACTGTTTCATTTGTCGTTGTGTGTTTAAAGCAAGTATCAAATATAAAAGCTCTCATAGCATTATATTCGTCATTTATTGCATGGTCATAGCATGCAATAAATGACTAGATATAACGGTGATGCATGAATTCAAATGGCATATTTTACTGTAGCAGCCGGTTAAGGGGGAACTATTTTTAAACTGCTTCACATATAATTAGTTATCGAGTTTCTAACCTTTGGGTTTAGATCAAAAGAGGAAGGAGTGAAGCAAAAAGTAAAGTTGTACTGCACAAATTCATGTTCAAATTGTAAGACTTTTGATATGTTACAAATAGTTAAATCAACTATTTGATGAAACGCTTAATGAATGACTTTGCCTCCCAGGATTTACTGTTAATCTGTAGGGACTACATGCCACCAGGTCCACCTTCAGCTCTGTGTGGCATGTTTTACATAAAATCTCACTGTAGTAACTCAAGCAATCAAATGAATGAGGAGTGAATTCTGTATACATTTCCAAAAAGTAGAATTAGAAGTTCTACTGCATGTGAAGTTGTACTTTGTGCCGTATTTTTGATGAGTGTACTCAGTTACTTTAGTTACTCAGTTACTGTCTTTGTGAGCGTATGTTGTCATTGGGGGGGGTGTATGCATGTCATTTCCATGTTGCAAATGCGACCACAGTTGTTTGTCGCAGTCACAGTTGCGTGTGTGTGGCACTCTTATGTTTTGTGGGAGGCGGGTGGGCTGACAGCACAGGCTGTCAGTGAGATGATCATGAAAAACCATCACTGTAAGAAGTGTGATTGAACACATGCGGCGTTTCACGCATCTGAGGAGAGACAGCGATTGAAAATGACAAAAGATCGAAAAGAGAGATTGAAATTGAATGAGGGTTTTCCTCTGTTGCAGGAACCCTCTCCTCCCTTCTCCTCTCCTCTGTCCTCTCTTCTCCTCTCCTCTCCTCTTCTCCACACCCAGCAGCCCCAGTGTTATGATGGATCAGATGTTGGGCTGGGTGGCCAGACCGGAAGTGCTCCCCTCCCCCCTCTGTGTGCTTATGTAAACGGAGAAGCAGAGAAAGAGAGAGGGGAGAGCTATTTTTAACCCAGGCAGGCTGCAGAAGAAGAAAGAATGAGCGACTGTGTTAGAAGAGAGAGACAACTTCAGCATTATTGATGAAGGTTGTTAGCATTAAATGAAAATGTCAACCCTGGATCAGCACAGGAAAAGTGAGGCCCACCATGTACACCTCCTGCCTCTCTCTTTGCAAAGATCACCTGACCCGTGTCATGATCGGGGGGGGGGGGGGGGATAAAATCAGGAAAAAAAAGGGAAGAAGAAGTTGACATGGCACTGATGCTTTGTCTCTGTGTGATTAGAAGGAAGTCACTGAAGCTTCACCGGTTCTCTTTTTGCTCCGTCATGCTCCGCCGTGATGCATCATTATTGTTGCTGTTTTTCCCCTATGCATTGAGGATGCACTCTAACTGTAAGATGTTCAAATGCAAAGTCCACTCAGTGCCTCGTTGCCCCCTCTGCCCAACAGGGCTGAGGCGAAGGGTTTGTCAGGTTTCTATTGTCTCATCATATACAGTATAGCAGTGTGTAAGTGTCGCTGTAAGTGTAAGAATTTTCAAGATAAGTGGAAAAGAGAAAAAAATCGTAATTTTTATTTATTTATTTTTTCAAATTGCTTTACTCATCACTTCACAGACTCTGTTACCTCATACACATAACAAAGGTGAATCCAAGCTTCTTTTGGGCGCTCCCTTGCTAACAAACAGCATGCCACAGTGGATGGCTTCCCATACTTGATTTATGATTTTTATGCTGGTTATCCTTCCTGACCTAATCTCCGAGGGTTTTTTGTCTCCTGCTCGTCTTGAACCAGGGATCTTTTGCATGTCAGACAAATGCATAAATCACAAATCTATGGGCATAGTACAGCCAGGGGTATTATTCTAAGTTTCTTATATTATTTGTATAATATTCCTAACCTTGCAAATATCCAGGCTTGCAGTGGTAAAATTTGCAAGACAAAAATGGTACATATATCCAGAAAATAAGAGGGATTCTTTGAGATTTAAGACACAAATTTATAAGAAACAGATGTTTAAAAGAAAGAAAAGTTGCTTTTATTTTTGCCGAGCTTCCACATCATGTCAAAGTGGGACGTTAGAGGTTTTGTAGGCCTTATTTGGCGAGTCACAAATACACAACAGTGGTAGTACAGACTGCACTTTCTACAGTTTTACTGCTGCTGCCATGTTGGATTCCAAAGTTGGAGTTGGTGTGACTTTGCTGACTTTCCGAGTGGGAAGTCCAACTGGAGGGGGCGTTTGAGCTGAAAATCCAGTGGAATTCTGACTTTCCACTTCAAATGGCATGCAGCATCATTCCTAATATAAGATATCATCATAAGAAATGTAAAGCATTTTTAAAAACCTCTGTGAAAGGGGAATATCACCTGTCCAAAGCTTCAGTATGGTGAGCGCAAATTATATTATTATTTTAAGAAAGATTTAATTGGATCAAAGATCAAGTTGAAACGTATCTGACTGCTGTTCCCAATTTTATAAACTTTAGGAAATATAAGGTTTGCTTTATTTTTTTCCCCTAAGGGCATGCTGGGTAATCTGGCCAGGTAGTATGGCAGTGTGGAGGAGGCTCTGTGGCTACAGGACACTCAACAAGATGCCATAAAAAAGAGAGGGATTAAAAAGAGAGACTTGTTTAAGTGTTAGATACTTGTTAACTCAGAGAGGGTTAAATATTTGTGTGGTTTCTTTTATTTATGTGGTATTTATTGTATGACAACATGCAATTGTAAAAAGTGCAGCATGGCTAATCTTTTGAAAATACTGCCATATTGCTCAAAAATATTCCCAAACTTTTTCAATAATATCATAAATTTCACGCATTTTTCTTGAGATTTTATTTTTTTACCTAAACCTCTGTAAATTTCAGGATTTTTCCTCATTAATTTACCAAATTAAGAGAAATCACAATTAATTGTTGAATAAGTACCTGATTTTAAATATGTCGAGTCTTGCACATATTTTTGCAAATATTAATTTATAATACACCTCTTTTATTTTATTTTTATTTTTGATATTATTATGGCTTATTGGAGGATCAACTAACTGTTTTAAAGTCATGTCCTTAGTTGTAGCTTCTTGTCATCTCAGTGAAACATCTAAAGGTTACACCTTTTTTCCA